AGTTAATAAGTGAATAAATTATTAGTGAAATTATTTTTATTTATTAATTATGTTCTGAAAAAATTAATCATTATTATTATATTCATTATTAGAGATATAGTATAATTTTTAACATATGTAATTAATAAAACAATAATACTCATATATATATTAGTGACAATTCTATAATATTAAAAATACATAGAATAAGAAATTAATATATGCTTTTTGTTATAATAACATGCTAAACAGTATTAACAAAGTTCATTGATTTAAATCTTATATATAACTTCCTAAACTTTTTTTATTTGTTGGCAATTCTAGAATTTAAAGCTTACATATAGTCAAAATAACTAGTACTACAATAAATATTCGCTCTAAGTGAAGTTCTTGAGGTTACTGGTTATTTTTGATTATTTTTGCATAATGATAGACATTTTTTGAAGTTAGAAATGCTTTTACGGTGTTTTTTTGATAGTGAAACATTATATTCTCAACAAGTACTTTAAACTATATAAATAAATTATTCAGGCAATTAGTTTACATCAGTCAATCAGATGAATGTCTGCCTATGGTAACAGTATTAAAAAAAAAAGAAAATAAAGCTTAATAATAGTAAACAGGTTAGTAAAGCAACAAATAGTTTAATTCTTAAGCGTATGCTTTAAAAATAGATACTATGAATTATTGAACTAAGACAGCTAAAATGAACAAATTTAGTTAGGCAAAATTTTATAAACTGGTATAACCACAAGCCCAATTTAATAAAATTTCCTTATGTTAAGAAATTTCCAAACTGCTAACCAAAAAGATATAGGTTGTAGTATATCAAAAATTCTTTATATACCTAATATTAACAATTGTGTATTCTGAGTAAAATTTCATTCTAAAAACTTTTACTTGAAGGTTGAAAGTTAGTCATCATAGTATATTTTTGTGTTATTTATATTTTTTTACAATTTTATATGCTTTTCATGTTTGCTCTGTTAATTTAGACCAATTTGGAATCGCCTAAATCGTGAAATGACTCAGAACAAAACGATGCCTTGTCATTTGAAATCCATACTGAATTTTCTCTGCTACGAAATTGCAAAAGATAATATTTATTTATAATACTGTAATTCATTTAACTAATTTTAAATAATGTAATGCATAATTGTTCAATAAAGACCGAGTCCAGGATTCACTATTACAAAATAATAATAATTTTTATTGAACAATAATCTTGAAATAGATATTATATAAATAAAATATCAAAAAAAAAATGAAAATAATATGAATAATAAATTTAACGAATAATTGGGAATAATCGGATAAATTAACACATTCTATCTTGCTTTAATCTTTCCCTCAATATTCTTCTTAACATTTTACCAGAATCACTTCTTGGAATTTTATCAATATATAATACACCACCTCTTATTTTTTTATGTGAAGCAACTTTTTCATCCACATAATATTGAATATTTTTTGCCAAATCTTGAGATTTTTCATATTTATTTTTAATTGTGACATATGCTACTGGGATTTCAGTTGCTTCTGCCTCATAATATTCACCAATTACTGCAGCATCTGATACAGCTTCATGTGTAAGTAGGATTGATTCTAATTCAGCCGGAGCCACTTGGTAACCCTATAAAATTTTAATTTCATTTGTTAGTCAAATTTAATAACATAATAACATGTAAAATAATTATTTAAAATTATTGTAAAATGATTATTAATATAGTCGTACTTTGTATTTGATGAACTCTTTTTTTCGATTGACAATAAAAAAGTTTCCTGTAAGAAAATTAAAAATTTTATAAATATTACACATTAATATATATAAATTTATCAAATTTTATTGTTATAAAGTATACCTTGTTCGTCAACATATACAATATCACCAGTTATAAAAAACCCGTCTTTGTCAAAAACAGCATCAGTAGCTTCTTTATTATTAAGATAACCCTATTTTAAAAAGTATATATTACTTTTTAATACAAGTAGTAAGATTTCATAGTATAACAGTTTTACCACTTTTACCACATACTTTCATAACATTTGGACCTTGAATGTATAATTCACCAGGTTCATCATATCCTAATTCTAATATATAAAATGGGGACATTTTGTGAAAACGGAAATTAAATAGATATGAAATTTAAAAATTTAAAAGGTTCTGTAATAATAATATATAAAACTAGCTACTGTACCATGACCATCTTCGGAAATTATTTTAGCTTTTACATTTGGAATGAGAGTTCCAATAGAGCCTATTAAAAAATAAGCATATTTAGTAAAACATGAAATATTCCTTATTATAAAGTAATAATCTCATAATACCTGGAACAGCAATCTTCGAATTCTTTGTTCCAGAATAATGTAATACTAGAGCAGCTTCCGTAAGGCCTTTATTGTGTCACATATAGATTTATAATTTATAAATTATAATCATATATTTATAATATATTATAATAATATATTTATAATATATTTATAATAATATGTGTATAATATATTTATAATGAGAAAACAAATTAATATCACTTATTAAGAAGGTAACTAATGATAAAAAATACACATACCATAAGATTGCAAAATTGGTATATTAAACATTTCATAAAATTTTTTCACCAATTTATCACTTAGTGGAGCAGCACCACTTACGATCATTTCTACACTTGATAAATCAAAATCTTGAACCACTGGATCATCAACAAGTTTATTTATAATTGGTGGAACGCCATGAATATAATTAATTTTATAATTTTGAATTGCTTCACAAAATGTTTTCACATTGAAACAAGGAAGAACGATCGAAGTAGTACTCTTTATCATTAAAACGTATAACCTTTGGATTAAATTGACAGTATTGTAATAAAGCAGTTAAATGAAGTAAAAAAACAACTTACATAAATAAACGTCCCATGAATAATAGCAGTCAAGGCAAAAATGTGACAAAATGGCTGTATTTAAAGAAATTAATGAAAAATTATTCTAAATGAGTATCAAAAACAATTTGAAAAGAAAATTTTTAATATGACTTACTAAAATTCCCATCATTATGCTTTGTGAGCCTAGAAAACAATCTGTGCCAAGTAATTGCGCCAAATTAACATTTATATTAGTGTGGGTAAGTTCGATACCCTTTTGCTTTCCAGTTGTTCCAGAACTATAAAGCAAATAAGCAGTCGTTGATTTTGCTTCTTCAGGGGTATAAGTAACAGGTTCAATTTCACGATCACCGATTAAAACAGAGCGATAAGGTTTATATCCCTTTACTTCATTATCACCAAATAAAAATATATTATAGGAAGGAATTCCTGCATTGATTGAAACTTCAATTGCAGAATCAATAAATTCAGGATGTACGATCAAAACCGAAGCACCTGAATCCTTTAATTGATGTAATAATTCAGTTTCTATAAATTTTGGGTTAGCGGTTGTTACTTTGCCACCTGTAGAAACATAAATATGAATTAGAATTAATTGAAATTATAAAAAAGTTATTTAATTTATATTAAAACTTGTACAATACCGGCTGCAATTGTTCCCAAGAGCACGATGGGATAATCATACTTACAAAAGAAATATATAAAAGTAAGTTATTAGATGAATGAAAAATTAATTAATGAAAACTAATTAAATGCATATGTACCTGATTAGGTGAAACTATCGCTAAAACATCACCATTTTGAAACCCAACTTATCTTGTAATCCAGCAGCAAACTTTTTCGAATCATGTTTAAATTCTCCATAAGTGCAACTCTTTCCAGTAACTCCATCTATGAAAATAGGCTTTTCATCTGGAATTTGTTCCGGATTACTGGTCACATATTGATATACTCCAGTTTGAGGAATTTTTATATCAGGATATTTAGATTCAAAAATCATTTTATATTTTGTGAAGACAAGTTAAATTCATGCAAGTGAAGTCAAGTTAAATTCATGCCATTTATACGTTTAAGAATTCCAGATCTCTCATTATACCAGTACGATCACATGAATGTGCAACATGAAATGTGGGAGGGATAGTTTCATTCAATATTATTAATCAAGCTTGATAATACACCTTCTTTGTCTTTCCAGAAGGCCTTGCATAGCCCCGATAAGAGAACACACTTTTATGGCCCGTAATTGCCATTGTCATTACAATAAGAACCCTTTGTCTAATTATTATTGCTCGATCAGAGACTTTATTGTTATTCGAAAAAGAATAATTTGGGAATAAGTTCGCTATCAACCAGGCTCTACCCTTACAAGGATAGTAAATAGTACAACCAGTGCCCTTCTCAATGATTAAACTCAAACTAGTGTTTGGAACCGCTTTTAATTTTCTTATGATAAAACCGGTTTTAATCGGATTTAACATAAGAAAAATAAAACCGGTTCCAAACTCTAACTCAAACTAAACCATCACTGTGCCTACCCTAAATTCCTTCTAAATCCTGCGCCATTTCGACGCCCCAGAACAAACAACTATCCAGCTCAACAAACAACACCCAAACGATGCTGCACAGCCTTCTCAGAGTGACGAGGACAGGTACTCCATAGCTAAAAAGAGAATCGAGTTGCTAAATGTTATGTGCTTCCCTGCACGTAGTTATAATCTTCTTCATGGTCGTTGCACTGTTATTACATCCGTAGAGCCAAAAAATAACTTTGAAGGTCCTTGCACTGCTTAAGCAGCCACGGACCCCATTTTAGGAGAAAAAAAAAACCAAGCCCCAATTATGTGGTCATTGCACTGTGCATAACCGCCGAGCCACTTACTATTTGGGGGAATAGGTGGAATAAAGAGCCAGCCTTTTCTAAGGTGAGCGATAGCGAAGCAAAAGATGTAAATTATCTCTTAAATTTTCATCCTTTTAACGCCTTCCCCTTCATTTCAATTCACATGCACACGTCTCTCTCTATGCCTCCGGGCCCGATAATCACTACTCCTTTACTGATATTCGTAACTTAAATAATACGTAATTAATCATATGCAATCATAACCCTAGTATCGCTAGAAACCTGCATCTAACAAGAACTTTAAGAAAAAAAATTGGGCTAACCCAAAACAGAAACATAACAAAAACAAAAAAGCGCAGATCGGATAATGATTGCAGTTCATCTGTTGCACTAGTGCATTAAGTATCAGATTTAATTTAATTGATGCAGTTTCTCGTGTACTTCCGAATAAACATTTATGCATTTATATTTATATTAACGGGTCTTGAAAAAGTACAATTGCATACTAAATTAAAGCCTATTGATTATTATCATTGTAATGATAATATACGATTAACATTGTTTTGACATAGTTGTTGTAATTTATTGATTAAAGTATAGACATTGACTTCAGTAATTTGTGATTTACTATATTTTTGATTGCATCTCTTTTTCAGGTAGATTTAGTATTGAGTTTAAGACTATCTATTACATTACAGGTTATTTTTCTATGTTGAAAATGGTTTAATGTGATAAAACTGGTCTGAAATGCTATGGTTACCAGGTTTGGGTACATAGTCAGCTTCCAATTTAAATGTTATCAAATTATATGTCAATAAATCAAAATTAATTATAATGTTAATGTGTTTAACTTAATAATCTACTCTATTGAAGGTATTCTTTCATTTAATAGAAGATGTTATTAAGTTATTTATAGATGCTTGGATTTTTGGCAGATTATTTTTATTGAAGATTATTGCTTATGTTAAAGATATTATGAGTTGCAAAAATTTTAGGTCAAAAAATATCATAAGATCTTTTGTTATAGCAGTAGTTGTACAAATTTATTTATTATCATTTTTTTAGAAAATAAATGAGACATAGACAATCAAGCAACATTAAATACTAACATACTGAAATTTTTCTTAAGAACAAAATTTAAATTATTTAATATTACTAAATTTGAAAAGAACTACTTGATGACCTTTTGCATATTTAATATAGATATTTAACTAATTCAGATCAGAAAAATTATATTAACAAAAAAGTAAGCCTGGTTAATCAGCTTGAGCTTTTTTAGAATTGAGCTTAGCTTACAATTTTTCATTAATCTGTATTACTAATATTTATTTGTACATGATATACTATAAAAAAAAAACAATAAAGAACTTATAGACTATATTAACAAAAAAAATATTTGGATTAGTTAAAATTAATGTTTATTATAATAATTACTTTTATGTTATATGTTGTAAAA